TCTGCATGGAGCACTGGGTGTTATGCACAAACAATGAATCATGGAACGCTACATCAAAAACTAATGATGTAATGCATGGTGATTAACATAACAATAAAAAATTAAGAAAAAAAAAGAATTGATCTTATTCCCTAGCCTTCTACTGCACACTACTTCCATTCTGGCTTCTGGTCGTACCCTGATCAATCTAAAGGATGTAATCTACTCTCTCTCTCCTTAACTATTTTGATAAGGAAAAAGAAACAGACTTTAGTAATTACAGCATTTAACTAAGAATCAGAAAAAATTTTCTTTTCTAATCTCTCATATTGACTGTAAGGTGCCATACAAATTCATTTCCTTCTCACTTCTTCCCAAGAGAAAGAGCAACCTTCCTTAGAAATGCTCTGAGCACAGATGTGAAAAAACAACACTGAATTCTCCAGAATAGACACCATGAAATATTACTTCTCCTCACTTTAGAATAGTGGCTCTTGGGACACTAGGGTGGCTCAGTCAGTTGAGCATTTGCCTTTGACTCAAGTCATGATCTCCAGGTCCTGGGATTAAGCCCCATGTTGGGCTCCCTGCTCAGCAGGAAGTCTGCTTCTCCCTTTCCCTCTGCCTTTTCCCCTGCTTATACTCTCTCTCTCTCAAATGAATAAATAAGATCTTAAAAAAGAATAGTGGCTCTCAGCCCTAGCTGTGTATCAGAATCACTTGGAGAGCATTTTAAAAAAAAACAACTGTAATAGATAACCCAGATCTGATAACCCCAGATTTAATATATCAGAATCCCTGGGCCATGGGGTCTACGCATTTGTGTTTGTTTATATAGATACACACACACACACACACACGTTTTTTGCTTTGTTTTTTTGAGAGAGAGAGATGCATGTGTGGGGGGGGTGATGGGAAGAGAGAGGTTTTTTGTTTTTTTTTTTAATGAAGAGAGAGAATCTTAAAACAGGCTCCATGCCCAGGGCAGGGCTCCATCTCAGGACCCTGGAATCATGACCTGAGCAGAAATCAAGAGTTGGTCACGTAACCAATGGAGCCCCCAGGGTGCCCTGCATTTGTTATTTTTAAAGCCCCCATCTGATTCTGATGCCAGGGCTGAGGACAGGAAGAGAAAAAAAAAATCACTATCTTTAAAATCTTCTTCATTCTATTATATCTTTAAGAAAAGGTCCAGCACGAACCATGAGAGACTATGGACTCTGAGAAACAAACTGGGGGAGGGAGTGGGGGAATGGGTTAGCCTGGTGATGGGTATTAAAGAGGGCACGTATTGAATGGAGCACTGGGTATTATATGCAAACAATGAATCATGGAACACTACAGCAAAAACTAATGATGTAATGTATGGTGATTAACAGAACATTAAAAAAAAAAAAAAGTCCAGCATAAGAAATATACGTGGAAAGAACAGAGTTATTATGAGGTTTTATGTTTCTTTAAATACCATTTTCTTTTAGAACTTGGCATTTAAAGTACCCACTGCATAAATATCACCTGTCTTAGTCCCTCAACTAACAGCAGCTGGAATGCCAAACAGTCTTTGAGGTATCAAGGAATTAGTACATTATGCTCAGCCCCAATTCCAAGGGGGAACCACTGGAGATCTTGACAACCAGGAGAACTTCTTTACCGCCAGTTTTCCTGAGTGTGAAGAGAGGAGTGCCTCCTTCTACTTTTCCCCCATCAGGTACCAAAAGAGCTTCAATCACGCCATTTGCTGGTGATGGAACCTGCACAGATGTCTGGAAAACAAGGACAGATGGAGAAAGAGTCCGAATTTTTACTCGGCATTAGGAAATTGTCTAGAATCTCAAACATGAGTCACAACAGTCGCAGCAGATATACTAGGCTCTGCTGATAGAAACACCAAGGCCACACTCTCAGAGTAATGAAGAGTCAATGCTATTGTGAAGATTCACCCTTTGTCCTTTCTCAGAAACATTAAAGCCATGTTCAGTTAATGTGTTTCCAAGTGATACACAAAAAACAAATGGAAACAGAAACAGTTCCTGCACATGCACACACAAACACACATGTGCTACAAAACTAAAGCTTTTATCGAAGTACATAATACATATAACCGAGAACAATCCAAAATTAAAATTTTAAATCTTTTTCTTTTTAATGAGCTATTCCAACACTTTTACAACTGAGGTTAGAGCAAGTTAAAAATTATATTTAAACCGTTAAGTCTCTTTTTTTTAATTAGGTTTTTTTACATGAAAAATTATACTGATACAGGACAAGCCTACCTTGTCAGTTTCGATCTCACAAACCACTTCATCTTCTGCAACAGTGTCTCCAACGGCTGAAAAGACAGTCAAAGGTTATCTGTTAAGGGGGGGACCCCAGTAGCCACAAAATCCCTTTTGATAGGTGTGTTATAAGACCCTTTCCTACAGGGCCAGGAAAAATTACATTTCAGGTAAAGAGAAGGGAGAAACCTGATTATTGGGGCAGGGAGAGGGGGAGGTCAGTGATGACAACTTTATAAAGTATTTAAACTTAAGTAAGTAGGGCCTGAAATCTTACCCTTCTCCCACCTGACATCTCCCTCTGTGACAGATTCTGCAAATGCTGGGGTTTTGACTGTAATCACATCATCCTCTAGGAAAAAAAAGCAAAAAAGAAAATCACATGTAGGCCATTATTTTTCCTTTTTAATTAAACTCTGTCAGTTGTTGCTCTTCCCATTAAAATGCCATTCCCAAGAAGGCAGGGAACCGAAGGAAGGTACTTACTGCACATAGCTGTAGTTCTGAAGAAGCAAACATTGAAGACACTACTGTTGTTAATACTACAGAAAAAAAAAAACATAAGAAAAGTAAACGTCTTTAGCAGGTGAACCACGCGCATTGTAGTCTAGACAAGGGACCATGGACCACTTTCCCTTTAAATCAGTGATTCTCAGCCAGGGGTGCCCATGAGTGTCCCCCTGGGGGAACTTTTTCAAAACATTCATGTCCAGGCCCCATCCCCAGAGATTCTGACTCAGCAGGTCTACAGCAGAGCCTGGATGACATGGGTACCCTACATAGTAAACTCCTTGGGTGAGTCCAGAACCCTGTGCTCAGTGAAATGCCAGCTCCCACAAAACAGAGACTTTCATTTGGTTCAGCGAAGAAAAAGATAAGCATCTCAGTCCTTTGCACACCCACCAAAAGGAATTAGCTTCCCGATTAGGTTTTTTTCTGGACAAAATTCAAGGACAATAAACCGGGTGCTCTCGCAGTACCTGCCATTGTGTCACAAACAATGAAGTTTCTGTCTGCAGGATTACAGACTGAGATCAGATAAGGGAGCAAGAGGAGACAATTAGCTTGGAATTAAAAAAAGATGTTATGGGGGGGTGGTTGGCAGGGGGCAAATTAACAAGAACAAAACAAAACAAACCTCCTGTATCTCCTAGTTGGTTCTCTTGCTAGGAGGCCGCACACTGGTCCATTCTGGACTCATTCAAGAGGAACGTCAAAAGACCAAGGTATTTTCTGGTATGACATTAACTTCAAATAATGTAAACTAGAGAATGATACCACTCTGCATGCACAAAACCATTAAGAGTGGTTAACTCTGGACAGTGGGAGATGTAGATACATACAGTACCTATGGTTATGTTACATCCATACACATTTTGGGAGAGTGATCTGGACCGATGGGGACTTTCACTTTCTACACTTCAGGATTCTGAATATTCTATAACAAGCATCTTTATAATACAGAAGTAAAACAGATTTAAGTTGCCATTTGGTATTTTTACTCTTGTAATGTCAAAATAACTGTAAGATCTATTTAAAAATCAAGGGGAAAATACGTTTTTTTTATTTATTTACCTATCTATCTGAGAGAGAGAATGGGAGACAGATCGATCTATCTATCTATCTGAGAGAGAGAATGGGAGACAGACAGCATGAGAGGGGAGAGGGTCAGAGGGAGAAGCAGGCTCCTCGCCGAGCAGGGAGCCCGATGCGGGACTCGATCCCGGGACTCCAGAATCATGACCCGAGCCGAAGGCAGTTGCTTAACCAACTGAGCCACCCAGGCGCCCCTGTACGTTATTTTTTAAAAAGCACAGAACACAAAGTGATCTGCATAAAGTTTATAACCATGTGGTAAGTGGTCATGGACAAGAACTCGTGGGTAATTTGCAACTGCAGAGACTGCTCTGTGAGGACGCTCAAGAACCTGGAGCACTGGCTGTCCCTAGGAAGAGGAACTTGGGGGCATGCAGGACAAGGGTAAAGTCTCTTTTTACTTTTGAATCATGAAAAACCAAAATGTTTTATAATGAAAGTTTTTTTAAAATAAGGTGGGTACTTATTTTCTCACCCCACAAAGTTTAATGTTGTGGGTTTTTTCTTTTTTTTTTAACAAATAATTTACTGGGGCACCTGGGTGGCTCAGTAGGTTAAGCGTCTTGACTTTGACTCAGGTCATGATCTCAGGGTCCTGCTCAGCAGGGAGCCTGCTTGTCCCTCTCCCTCTGCCCCTCCCCCCACTGGTGCTCTCTGATAAAATCTTAAAAAAAGAAATTTACTTTTAAATACTTATTTGTTGTATTTATTGCATCGAAATTTGTGGTTGTTCCAACTTTCATTAAAGTTGCAGATGAGTACCACATTTTGAATTGCTCTAAATAATTTTTAAGTTACAAAAGTATTAGATGTTCACTTGAGAGTATTTGGAAACAGCAAAAAAACATGATTATACTGTACAGTAAAAAATAGAATCATTTTATAACCTGTTTCCCCACTTATCATTTTTTTTTTTTTAAAGATTTATTTATTTGAGAGAGAGAGTGTGAGAGACAGAGAGCATGAGAGGGAGGAGGGTCAGAGGGAGAAGCAGACTCTCCGCCGAGCAGGGAACCCGACGCGGCACTCGATCCCGGGACTCCAGGATCATGACCTGAGCCGAAGGCAGTCGCTTAACCAACTGAGCCACCCAGGCGCCCTCCCCACTTATCATAGTGTGAACATGTCAACATGACACAGCTTAAGCAATCCCCTGTTGTTTGGCCATTTTGAGAGAAATCTGGGTATACCAGGAGTTCTTCAGTATAGATTTTTAGAAATGGAATTGCTAGATCAAAGAATACACACAGTTCAAGACTAATGAATGCTAATTGCCCTCTAAAAACTAACTCAGAAATTCATACTTCTAGTACTAAGTGCATCATTTTCTCAATTGAAAAGAAAATCCCATTGTGATGCACAGTGAAAGAACTAATCTGGTGACCCTTCATTTTAAGGATTCTCCCTATGCAGAACACAGCTTTATAGCTGTTTAACAGATAACTAGAAAGCATCCTCTTACCACCTACCTGAAAATACTTGGAATGCAAAGTAGCATTAAGCAACACTCATAAGCAGAAGTTAATCTGAAACACACACGGGTGGCCTTTCTCCAAACTCTATTATGCAATAATAGCATTCCCTCTGAAGTAGTCGAAGTCCCAGGACTCAACTCACTGTCTTTTGCTTTTACGGTTTCTAAAATGAGTAACTATGCTACCAAGAGGATGCTCTAAATCTCCACAGGAAATGTGAACCTCCGGCCCTTCGGCTGCACTTGTATCCAACCAGAATACTCAAGAGTAACCTACTAGATCTTTTCCCATAAAGAGAGGGTTCCAACTTCACTTTCATTACAATCTAAACACCTGAGGACAAGCACACTCCAGCGCCAGCACCTGACATGGGGCTGACGCTCAACGTACATCACATGTCATAAATCAACATCAAGGTTAGGTCTAGAGACTCAACATAAGCACCTTGATTATCTAGGCCTGGAAGCCAGTGAAGAAAGCAGGTGGTCAAATTTAGAACTGGTGTCTTAAATACCCCATGGCCACGCATCTGTGCTCCCCAGTGATACTTACACAATCTTCCTGCTGTCAGGGTAACCTGGTCCCTGACATAAGGAGACCCCTGCAAGAAACAAAACAACTCTTAACCAACAACTCTTATACAGGATACCTGCTGGGAATGGGAAAGAAATCTGTTCACCCCCTAACTCTGACACGGAGCAAGATCAAATGTAGGCAACAATATAATCCTTATCACAGAGTCCTGCTTCTCAATGGCAAAGAGCAACAGGTATGTGGGGTTGAGAGTGGGTATGTGTTTGAAAAAAGGGGAGAATTCTAAGGGCAAAGCCTGAAGTAGTTTTATCATATTTACCTTAAAATTCATAAACTGTCATTATCCCTATATGTTTTCATAATAAAACCTCCCTACTCCCCCAAGTGTTCAAATATATTTGAAGCTTGAGAAAGACCCATCATGGCTTATCCTGCGACTACACAAAGCCTAATCTGAGAAGCAGTGGGCATGTTTGGTCTGGGTTTCTGTTTCCCTGGTTACTTAAAATGCACTGAGCTGGAAGTCTTACTGCATAAACCCTAGTAGCAAAGACTGGGCTACTTTAAGCCCAGGGTCTCCAGTTTGCCCCAGTACTGAGCAAATCATTGTCCCTCCTATCAGTTTATTGCCTTCCCAAGAGCTCTCTGAGGTCGTCCCCTCTGGTCAAACTCAGCAAGGTGGGAGTCCCTTTCTGCCCCACCAAACGTCCTTATCACAGATAACTGCATTTCCCCAAATGACAACTAATTACAACTAACAAGGGCTGCCGCCTCACCTGAACATATTCTTCCAGAGGTCTTTTTTTTCAGATCTATTAACAACTCTTCTAAATAAACCATGGGTTCAGGAAACACCAGAGGAGAAAGAGCTCTCCCTTGTGTCTCTTCCTCCCCCAAATCTCCAGAGTTTCAGAGTCAAGTAAATCACTTCCATGTCCAGCAGTCCATGCCTCTGCAGTACAAATCCCAAGTACAGCGTATCTTTGAGCTAGAACAGCCAGCAGCCCATACTGAGTTTTGGAACCCTGAGTCCAATTTAGAGTTCATCTTACAGCACAAGTCTCATTTGTACAGTGCTTTAGGGTTTATAAAAAGCTTTCACATAATGACCTCATTTTGATTTTCATGTCTCATAACTCCCTAAAGTAGAACGACCATCTGCTATTATTCCCAGTTTTTACCTAAGCAGGGCTTCTGGAGGTTTAGGGGACTAGCCCAAGATGAAGCCCTGAACCACAACGCATACCCCAAGTACAAGGTTCTTTCCATTGTCCTGCAGGTCTATAAATGGAGAAAATGTTTATTTTTAGAATTCCTAGTTTAAAAGAATATTTATTATTGACAGTCCGCTCCAAGCTTACACTCTGTTAGGTGCCTATGTTCTCATGACTATTAGAATAAAGTCCAAAAACTTTACACATTCCTGTACTGTCCAGCCCTATCTTTCCAGCCAGACAGGCTTCCTTTCCATTTCTATGACTGGTCAAGTCCCTTCCTGCCGGACAACCTTTGCTCTAGCAATGCCCTTTGCCTGGAATATTGTTCTCTTGGCCAACTGCTATGTATTCTTAAAGACTTGGCTTAAATATCACTTTTTCAGGGAAGCCTTTACTGACATTCTCACCACTCTCTCCACCTTCCCAAGACGGGTTACATCCCACCCTTTCATTATGCCTTGCACTTCTCGCTCATAGTCATCACAATGTAATTGCGGCCTTATGTGTGCATAAATGTCTATTTGCTGTCTCTCCAGCTAGCCCATATGATTCTGGAGGGTAGAGACCATCTGTATCCCTGTCACCTAGCATAGTGCCTGGCACGTAGGAAGAACTCAAATGCTCTGTTGAGCACATGAGTAAATGACAACATGGTGGGTTAAGAACTTAGGTTGAGGAGTCAGGTAGAGCAGGCTTGACCAATAGGTGGCTGAATGACCTTGGTCAAGGCACTTTCCCTTTCCTAGCCTTGGGTCATGCATTTGTAAAACAATGAGAATACCTCTTATTGTTTCTTGATGATTAACTGCAAAACGCACAGAAAGCACTCAGAACCATATTTGGCCCACAGAAAACTACTAGGATCTACTCATCCAACAAATATTTATGCCAGGCATACAAAAAATTGGGATAAAACCTAAATTCCTTCCAATAGTCCCTACACCATCTTCTATCTCATGCCATTCCTTCCTTTAACCAAAATTCTCTGGCTGAATCACCTTTTTTCCAGTTTCAAAACACTGTCAAGTTCTTCCCTTCTTCAGGGACTCTGTACATGCTATTCCCTTTCCTTTTCCTGCTCTTCACTGAACTCGCCTCTGTCACATCCTCTGGGTTGCAGCTTTAATGTCCCCTACTAAAGAAGGCCCTTCTGTCCACCTTCATTTTCCTTCTCAGCACTTAACCAAAATTCATGATCCCTCATTTGCTTATCAATTTACACTTTGTCCTTCCCGCTAGACCATAAGCTCCAGGAGATAAGAACTGTTAACTGCTGTAGCCCTAGTGAGCGCCTAGCACAGTGCCTGCCTGACAGGCAGTAGAAACTCGGTAACTATGTGCCAAATGAATAAAGGATAGCTGTTATTAAATAGCACTTTGTTTCGCTCCACATCATGTGGAGAAACATAGGCACCCCCGTTTCCTCAAATACTGCTCTGCCCAGGAGGAGAGCACGTTAGGTAACGGCAAGGGCACAACTTACCAGGCAGGGAACGTCTCCCTAGAGGGCAGTTCCCCTGTTGAGAAAGAAGACATTATCGACGTCACCCATGATGAAAGGAGGGAAGAAACAGCTTTTTAAGTACAGACTCAAAGCTGTCCGGGCGCTAGTGACAGGTGAATCTCGTGACTCCAAAAGGCAAATGCAACAGCCAAGGCTCTCAGTCCCAGTCAACACCCTGGGCCTGCCAAACTACCTCAACTTCCCATCGGGGCTGACACCCACTAACGGGAGTGGGGGCGGGCCCGGATCCCGTCGGGGTACTCGGCGGCGCCTCCTCCCAAACTCGGAGTCTCGTGCCTGCACGGGCGCGGCTCTGGGCGGCTCCTCCGCCCGGGCGCGGAGGGCGGGGCCCAGCAGGGGACGGGACGCCGGCTGCCTCGGGAAGGCAGGGGGCTGCTGGGCTCTGCAAGACGACCCCGAGAGCAACGGCGGCCCCGGGCCGCCCAGCGCGCGGCCTCCGCGTCCCGGTGCCCTTGGTGCCGGGCTTGACCGGCGCGCCGCGCTCCTGCTCCCCAGGCTGCTCCTCTGCCCGCCGGCAGGCTTCTCATCCGCCGGTACCCCGGCCCACCGGACCGTACCTTCTGAAAGGCAGAGAGCGAGCGGCTGAACGCCCGGGACACGCAGCGGGACCGGGACAGCATCGCGGCGGCGGCGGTGGAGCCGAGGGCGGGCGGACACCGGATATAGGGCCCGGCAACAACCGGAAGCGGGGCGGGCCGCGGCACTCGCCGCGCGGGGAGGGGTGTTCGGAGCGAACCACTGGCGGGGGGGGAACCGACAAGCAGCACGAAGCGGCCCCCACCTCAGCAAACCGGTCTGCGCCCGGGAGTCCTCGGCGGCGGAGCGCTCTCGGAGCCTGCTGCACTGCCTGCCGGCCTGCGCCGGAACTCCCGCGGGTGCCTACGACCGTCCAGAGACCAGGCCGCCCTAGGGGTCCCACCCCGCCTCCCACACCTCTCCGCAGAGCTGGCCCTGAGCTTGGCGCCCGTCTCCTTCTGGGACCCCGGGACACCGCACGTTTCCACCTCTGCACTACCGGAAAAGAGCGGGAGGCTCGCACGGGCTTTGAACTCGGACCTTGGCGGACAAGCCTGCCTGATCTTACACGTGGGTGGCCTTGGGCAGGTGACCTCGCTTCCCTGAACCTCAGGTTCCTCAAATATATATTTTTAAAAAAAAAGGAAGAGTCACTTCCCTGCCTCTCTAACTCCAGAACAAAGAAACAGCCCAAAGGAACCTCTGAAGGGTTCCCATTGCCCTTTTACCAGACAAAGATCAACAAGTAGCCTTACTTCTGAAACGACATCTCCTGATCTTCCCTAGTCCTACTCACACTCTCTCCAGCCAAGCTAATTGTTCCCCATACATCCTGTGTATTTTGAAGGTGGTTTATTAGTCATTCTATCCCTAGAATATAAAGGACTAAATTAGGGACCTTGTCTGTCTTGTTCACTGCTGTATTCACAGCACTTAGAACAGAGATTGGCATAGGTAGGTAGGTGTGTAATAACAATTCGGCCTGATACCTTCAAAGTGAAAGCACATAGCTTACCCTCCCCCTTTTTAGTTTTCCCTCCCCTTGAATGCCCAGAATCACCTTTATAGCTCACCTTCCTTTTTTTTAAGATTTTATTTTTAAGTAATCTCTATGCCCAGAGTGGGGCTGGAACTCACCACCCCAAGATCAAGAGTTGCATGCTTTACCAACTGAGCCAGCCAGGTGCCCCTATAGCTCACCTTCCTAATAGAAAAGGTTTTCTATAAGCTTTGGTGGAATTAAGAATGAATGAATGAATGAATGAATGGGGGCGCCTGGGTGGTCAGATGGTTAAATGTCTGCCTTTGCCTGGGGTCATGATCTTGGGGTCCTGGAATTGAGCCCCACGGTGGACTCCCAGCTCAGGGGGGAGTCTGCTTCTTCCTCTCCCTCTGCCTCTCCTGCTTGTGCTCTCTCTCTCAAATGAATAAATAAAATCTTGAAAAAGAAAAAAAAAGAATGAATGAATGAATGAATGAATGTGTCACTAGTGCCTGCTCATACTGGTTTCTTAAGCTGAGTCATCTTACCTCGTCCTCAGGCACCTTTAGGGTGCCTTCACTCATCCAAACTCTGCAAGGGCTTCCACTGGAATTCTGGAGGGATGGGCAGAAGCAGAACTAGAAAGAGAGAAATAGAGAAAACTAGAAATAGAGAAAAGAGAGAAACTAGAAATAGAGAAAACTTTCTTGCCCAGCTGCTGCCCCTGATCACATCCTTAGCATCCTTCACCTGGACTATTTTTAAAGCTTCCTAAAGGGACCTGGGCCTCTACAATCACTTTCTCTAACCCATCCTCCATGTCCATGTCAAAGATCCTTTGAAACACAAATGTACTCCTGTCACTCTCATGCTTGAAGTCTTTCAATTGCTTCTCCCTATCAGGAGGATGAAGTCCAAACTCCTCAGTTTGACCGGGCACCTGATAACCTGGCCTTGGGCTAGGTTATGATCCACCCCATGATTTTTACAGGTGCTGAGTTTTTTTAGTCCTACACACTACTAGCAATCGCCCCCATGTGCTATTTCACTCCTTCCCATCTTTGTGTGGGCTGATCCCACCTCCCATTTGCCTAGGGACTCCTAATCATCCTCTAAGTCTCTTTTGAGTCCCTTCCTAATGCCCTCTGTCAGAGTTAACAGATACCCTTTCTGTACTTCCAAAGCATTATGCACGTATCTCTTCTTTGCATTATAATATGCTTTTTGCCTGTCTTCTCTCCAGGGCAGAGCAGAAGGAGGAAAGAGATGATGACTCTATTTTCCTGAATCCCCTGCACAGAACACAGTGCCTGGTACTCTGTAGGTACTCAAGAAACACAAGTGGAATGACTAAGACATCGTGCTTACAAGACTGCTAGATGCAGCTGAAGAGTCCCCAAAACAGGAATCCCTTGAAGGGTTTGCTGTTAATATTTCTTAGACAGCTACTTAATTTTTTCATCTTTAAGTAATTAACTGTAGAGATTCTTATCTAAAGTTTAGAAGCTCAGGCCTGGATGACGTGGCAAAGCATTTCTCATAGAATTTCAATGATCGCCCAAGTTAATCTCAGATGTTACGATTTAGACATACACACACTTGCACACACTTGCACAGTAGCATGTGAAGTCTCTTTCAGAGGATAAAGGTTGAAATTGATTTCCTTGAGACTCATATATGAGCTTCGGTGGAGTCCAAGGTGCAACCCAATGAGCTCTCACCCACTTCTGTATTTAGAGCCTCCTAGGACACAGCATCATCTATTTCGACAGGAGTTATGTATATAAGTTCATAAACTTGTGTTTATGGCTCAAAAGGGAATTTATTTATTTCACATTTAAAAAATATTTTAATTCCAATATAGTTAACATACAATGTTATATTAGTTTCAGGTAAAATATAGTGATTCAACAATTCCACATATTACTCAGTGCTCAAGATAAATGCACTTCTTAATCCTCTTCACCTATTTCACCCATCCCCCCACCTCCCCTCTGGTAACTATCAGTGTGTTCTCTATAGCTAAGAGTCTGGTTTTTGATTTGTCGTTTTTCCCTCCTTTGTTTTGTTTCTTCAATTCCACATATGAGTGAAACAATACAGTATTTATCTTTCTCTGGCTGGCTTATTTTACTTAGCGTTATACTCTCTAGATCTACCCAAGTTGTTACAAATGGCAAGATTTCATTCTCTTTTATGGCTGAGTAATAGTCCAGTGTACATATGTGTCTCTATCTATATCTATCAATATGATATCTTCTTTATCCATTCATCTATCAGTGACACTTAGGCTGCTTCCATAATTTGGCTGTTGTAAATAAGGCTGCAATAAACAGAAGGGTGCACATATCCTTTTGAATTTGTATTTTCTTATTCTTTGGGTAAATACCCAGTAGTATGATTACTGGATCATATGTTAATTTCAAAAGGGAACTTTATTTTATTTTTTAAAAGATTATATTTATTGATTTGAGAGAGTAAGCGAGTGCACGTGCACAAGCGGGGGGGGGAGGGGCAGAGGGAGAAGCAGACTCCCCACTGAGCAGGGAGCCAGACATGGGGCTCCCCGGAGGATCATGACCCGAGCTGAAGGCAGACTCTTAACCAATTGAGCCACCCAGGCGCCCCATCAAAAGGGATTTTTTTTTTAAGATTATTTATTTATTTGAGAAAGAGAGAGAGAGCACAAGCAGGGGGAGATGTAGAGGCAGAGGGAGAAGCAGGCTTCCCGCTGAGCAAGGAGCCCGATGTGGGACTCCATCCCAAGACCCTGAGATCATGACCTGAGCCTAAGGCAGATGCTTAATAGAAAGAGCCACCCAGGCGCCCCATCAAAAGGGAATTTTTTTAAAAAAACATTTTTTATTATAAAATATATCTTCTCCCAGCTGGCTTTCCTGGGCATCTGAGTTGGGGCGGGGTGGGAGATGGTGGGGGGTGGCAGCCAACCAGCTCTGGCCTCTAAATGCATATTCATAAGCCCCCCCACACCGGTTGGCTGCGCTAGGCAGCCCCCACTGTCCCCACTGCTGCAGCAGGGCTGGGTCTGTCAGCTGGTGCCTTGCACTGAGAAGGGGCGGCCGGAGGCTTCCCTCACTCAGCCGCAGGCACCGGGCCTGCCTGGGGAGGAAGCCAAAATCACTTCCTGACCATGGTTCTTTATGCCCAAGGCTGGTGAAGAGTGGGCTCCTCCATCTTCTGGGGTAGCAGACCCCATCTGGCTGCAGAGCCCAGGACTTGGATCTCCCTGAGGGCATCTTCTCTGTGAGTAACCTTGCCAGAGACCTTTTTTTTTTGATGGAATGTTTATTATAAAAAGGTTCAAGAATGCAGAAAAGTGGAGAAGCTAGCATCACAAGAGCCACGACTTAGATTTAATCAGGGTTCATATGGTGCCGTATTTGCTTCATCTGCTTTTGTTGGCTGAAATATTTTCGAGCGAATCACGGACAGCAGGAATTTTTGATCTGAATATCTCACTCTGTAATAGCCTGATAGGCATCTCCAAAGCACTTTTTAAACTCTTCTTACATCAGGTTCTCACGCCAGTCTTGAGTGAGGGGACGATTTCATCCCCATTTTAGAAAAGCAGAAAAAGCAGAAAGTGTGGCTTGAGGGCCAATGGGTGTCATAGAGCCCAGACCACCTAAATCCCAGCCCAGGGCACTGGTCTTGGCTGCAGGAAAGGATCTCACATCCACAAGTGTTTTGCTAGATAGTGATGAGACATTGCAGCCACTTTGTGACCATGGACCAGTCTTCGGTGGCCTCATCCATAAAGCAAGAGCAGGGCATGAAGATCCGAGGTTCCCTCACACTGGTCTGTGATGTGTTCATTGGTTTTCACAAAAGACAATGTAGAGGTTTTTACAAATCTAAATTAATTTGGGTATTATGCCCTTCCTCTCTTTTCTTTTCTTTTTTTTTTTTAAACCAGGGTAGTTAAGATTCTTTTTTTTTTATGAAATAAAAATGATAGTGGATTGTAGTCTTTTGCCTACCTATTTTTGGGGGGCTCTTACCTGCAAATAAAATATCAAGACCTCTCAGGCTGGTCCAATTTTTTGTTTGTTTTCATTTTATTAATGGTTGAAATCTAAAAGTCTGGAACCCAGGCACTGTACCAGATGATCCCCAAGTCCCCTCCAGGGCTAAATAAAGTTTCAGGGCTGTGGGG